ATGGGCCAAATTTCTTATCATTTTGATGATTCCAGAACCTTGCAGATGCTAGATGCTAGATGATCAACCTTTTCTGATCGATTTCACAACGTTTCTTTCACAATGCAATCGCATGACCATAACTGGTCTTTACCTTTAATTATTGTAAGGCTGTTATTTGAGTGACTAACATTAAAACTGATCTCCGACCAGTTTTCAGTGTATAATAACACCTGTGGCATGATGTGAAACGGAAGAGATATTTTTTAAATACAAATTACATGGAATGTCATTTTGCTTTATCGTTGCTGATATTTTGCTCCCCACTTTTAAATAAATAGTTTAAAGATTTTGATAAAAGCTCATTGCTATTGTAGACGTGGAAATATCTTAATGGTTCACGAGGCCGTCGTTCAACTAAGCTAACAGTTTGGTCTCATGTGCCTACTTGAAGTATTTACACAATTATGATGGGGGTCGTTAGTCCGGACGCTAAACAAATTAAAGATTTCACTTTTACCAATGGATTCAACGAATAATATGCATATACACATTAACCATCGTAAATATCTGTCCTTTTGAATATTATCCGACATAAATGTTAAAATCTTAATAAATATTGCTTTTAAGCCTCTTCAAATTTAGTGTTTGAAATCAACCCACTGTCTGGATAACCAACCTGTCCGGTCGCACGATATGGGGCTGTACGTACATGGTTAACTTAATCATCGTTCAATAAATCATATATGGTTCTGCCTTTTCTAATTTAGGCGACCAAGGAAAAGGACCATTTTAGTAATCATCATGTAACTGTTCAAAAGGTGATGGATCCAACACCATCATCATCAACATTATGGTGCTATTTATTTTGTTAAGAGGAACGTTGATATTACTGCCATCATTCTTTATACAAATTGATCATCAACCTTCAAAATATTGATTAGTAAACAGGTAATAGCAAGAATTAAGCAGATAAGTATTTTTTTTTTTGCAACACCATCAATATGTTGAAGGCATAATCGGTTGCACTTTATGCGATTAAGGAAATATATTAGCTGTCATCCATCATGTCTCCGAAAAAGCCAATTTGATGATGAGCTTTCCTTTGATAGATATGTGATTAGTATAATGGTATTATATGTCCTCAAGCTTGTAGTACATTGTTTAGCGATGATTGATCATCAAAGGAGGTAAACGTTCATTTAAAATAATTATAAAGAATATTAATAGCCGGTATGACGTTTGAAAAGCAATGTAATTATACGGTAAGTGCGAAATTCCCCACCCCCATGTAAATTGGCACATTAAAATAAAGTTTTTTCGCCAAAGATCCATTAGATGAGTTCACGGCACAATGCAGCATTTTACAAGATGATAAACTGCATGTCTCATCTCAAAAACTTGCTCTTAAAAATGGTTGAGTTCTTGGAGGCATGGAAACAAATTGTGAGCCTTTTCGTTGTTATCATGCAAGTGTGGACGTACAACAGGTAAAAATGTTCACTGAAAAGCATGGTTCTTCAAATGACTTCATTTTTGTCCATATGACATGTTGCAGCTCAAAAAGATGGGCCTCATTGTTTGTGTAATCCCATATGCATCTTTCTGTGTACAGTGCTTTTTTTTTTTTATCAAGACTGGGCCAAATTCTTATCATTTTGATGATTCTAGAACCTCGCAGTTAACACCAATACTGATATGCTACATGATCAACTTGTTCTGATCGATTTCACACCGTTTCTTTCATAATGCAATCGCATGAAGTAGAAATGCAATATACATTTCCATGACAATACTACGGTATTTGTGGAAAATTATGAATTTGTGTAATTCCTTTTAAAAGTATCTTTATTGCCTGTCTTTGATTACCTTTCTTTAATAATCTTACTTGTCGGGTAGGCAATGGGTGTAACTCACACAAAGTGAACACATTTTAATAGCCTTTTTCTGATTTTACTGTAATATTTTCCTTTTTAAAAATCGTCGTTATGGAAGGGAGGAGTGTAAGTTTCGAAAAGTAATCTTTTCTAACGAAGATATATTTGTGGAATATACATTGACATCAAAGCGTCAATATGTTTATTGTTATACTCTTGTGAAAAGTTAAAATTATAATTCTATGCCTTCAGTTTTAATAATGTTTAAGTATGTACCCTTTAAGGGAAAGCTTACTGATATATGATAAGCTTTTATTTAAAGACAACTTTATTTTTTTTAAAATATGTAGCCTTCCAATAATTTCTTATTCATATTATATTTGACGATGAGCCATGCATCGAGTCTTTCGTCTTCTTTGTGCATGGCTGATCGTCAACAAAATGGAGTTAAGTCTTTTGTTAAAGGCCCGGTCACACAGGGAGGACGCATGGGGAACGCACGGCCAGCGCATGGGAAATTTGCAATTTTGGCCAGTGCGTTGTCGTGCGCCCAACTTTTGACACCAAATGCATAGCGTGTTGCTAGCGCGCTGAGCGCATACAGGGCGCATACAGTACGCATACAGACCGTACCCAGAGCGCACATGATAACAACTTCCACGAATGCACAGCGTGTTGCTAGCGCGCTGGACGAATGGTCCACGCATGCACCGCGTTCTACGACGCACGGCCAGCGCATTGTAAATCGGAAAAGGCCATGTGCCTAACTTTTGTCATGATTTTGGAAAAGCTAGCGAGCTGACACAAAATGCACAGCGTGTAGCTAGCGCGCTGTGCGTATACAGGGCGTGTGCCCCGCGTATGTCTGGCGCTGGTCTAGCGCGCTCAACGCACGTCTGGCGTGCCTTTGGCGTGTACATTCATGCGTCGAGCTCTACGCACACTTTTGAGCATGCTCAAAAAATCCCGACGCACACAGCGAATGACGACGAATGCATAGCGCTGGTCCAGCGCTGGTCCAGCGCGCTCGACGAACGAGTAACGAGTGATGGCGCACGCCTAGCGAACGACAACGCACTGGCCAAAATTGGAAATTTTCCATGCGCCGGCCGTGCGTCCCGCATGCGTCCCCTCTGTGTGACCGGGCCTTAACTCTGGTTGTTGCTACGGCAGGCAGCTAGTGGAACTGAACTCGTTTAATCAAATTATGGAAATGCAAGCATCACTTTAAACAAACAGAACTTTGTTATTCCTGGCTCATATTTCCTGATTGAGATGTTATATGGAAGGGCAGAAATTGAACTTTCTCGAAATATTATTTTCTCTTTGAAATTCAGATACCGCCCGCCAAATGACTTTTTTGGCTTCCTCTCTTCAAATTGTTTTTAATCACTCATGAGTGAAAATGCATCATATGAGTTGGTTCAAATGAAAGGAGAGGATCTAAGCTTTAAAAATATGTGTCATTTATTAATTATAATTGTGATTAAATTATGATAAAACATCGATAATTCTCGGTTTCGTTTTTTCTGGGACGCACTGTATAGTCCCTGTCACTCTGTCTCTATCTCTCTGCCTCTCTGTCTCTCTGTCTTTTTGTCTCAACATGCTAACAGTCTCTGTTTCCTTCTCTCTATGTGTATCTCTTTCCCTCTCCTTCACTCTGACCTATTCGGCTTTATATTGTCATTTTAACACCTTCAATGATTAATTGTTTACTTAATTGGTTACGTTTTCCCCGCCGTTAAAAACAGAAACCGCCATTCATAATGACACAAAGCATTAATGCACCATATTGTTAGATGGTATTGAAACAGTCTTTGTACGTCGTTTCATAAATTATGGCGGGGAAATTAAAGTCAGTCCTGAAATGGTTGTTTCCCCAGAATAAATTGCATGTGGCATATTGTTCTCATTCATACTCATTCGTCTTGTTGCATGAGAATTTAAGAACTAAACAGATGAAGACAAAATGAAGCAATAAAGAAAAATACCTACGTTACAAAACTATTTATTTTTTACATAGGCCTGTGTATGTGTAGACATGCTTTTATTTTTATTTTTTAAACCAAGCTAATTAATCCAACCGTAGATAACTCATACCTCCACTTGGACCCAGTCAAGCGGAGTAATCATCTACAGATCAATAAAAACAATATTATGTGATGTGCGTGTATGCGATGCAATGACTAGTTGACGGCCACACCCTATCGACCGATCGGGACATGCTTTGAATGTGAGATAAAAAAAAAAAAAAAAAAACTTTAATATGAACACACATTTCTAGACGCTCCGACAGGATTTATTGCAGTGACCGAAATGCATTTTTCTCGTCACTTGACATTGCATATTTGTTGCCGAATATACCTTGGATGTTTTGTTAATGTATACACGTTTATTCATTTTCAAGCTTATACATACAAGTTTACTAGATCTACATTGTATTTAGATTTCGATATACTAAATTTGCCTACTTAATTTGGTTTAATGTCATGACAATATTTGTAAGATAAAACTGGAGAAATTGACAACTATATTTTTGAACAAGATAATGTAGAAAACTTAAGGAGTCACGTTGTTTTTCCTTGTCACAATGTTTTGAATAGTTTTCCTTCATGCTTTGCAATATATCGGGATTCTAGATTGATTAAGATGGTCCCAAAGCCGTCTTTTACCGTTGTAACACAGTTTCACATTTTGTTCGACAGTAATCATCAATTATTAATTCCCTTTATTTCTACCATTATCTTTCTATAGACACAACTGAAGAACCAGCTGCATCCCCGCTTAACTAACTGGAGGAGGTAGAGTCACGTGACCGTCGCACCTGTCACCTGATCGATTTTGAATAGACAGGATGCAGAAAGGACGAATACTTCATTGCCTTATTCTTGTTGCTGTGATATGTGCCAGCACGTCAAGGGTAGTCGCCATTGCAGGTAGGCACATCACGCACACGACATGGGACTGGTGGGGAAAAAAGAGTATTGGAAATGTATTTATGATGATGCAGGAGGGACAGGGAGATAGAGAGAGGGGAGAGAGGGGGGAGGGATGGGAGCAGAGTGAAAGAGAATGAGGGGCAGAGAAAGAGCAAGCGAGAGAGAGAACAAAATAAAACACAACAATTACAAAGACATAGCCATGGTAGCCGTCGCCATTACTTGTAAAGTGATAATAATCCAACATTATGGATTCTATTGATTTGATTTGATTTGATAACAATTCAATTCGTGCAGGTAATCTGGTAAAAATAGAGAGAGTAGGTAGGGGCGAAGAGGAAGTGGAGGGATTTAGGATGAGACATATTGGCCCGAATTCACAAAGGAGGTTTGTCGACAAACCTAGGTTTATGTGCGTCATAAGTCGCGTTTCGATGCGTTTCAGACCAAGGTTGAGATAAACCTAGGTATAAAACGTGTCAAAACGCGTCAAACCTCCCTTGTGAATTCAGGCCATTTAGTACAGCAAAAGCGTTAGTATTTGAATGAGGAAGACTAAAACATTTACAAGTACAGGTGCTAAATGAGAAAGCGATGCTATAAGAGGATGGTATATACATAGAGAAAGAGAGGGAGAGACAGAGAGAGAGAGAGAGAGAGAGAAGGAGAGAGAGAGGGAGCTAGGAGAGAGAGAGAGAGAGAGAGAGAGAGAGAGAGAGGGGGGGGGGGAGAGAGGGGGGGGGGAGAATAAGAATGAAGCATGAGCATTGATGGGGGAGAAAGAGATTCAAAGGGTGGGCTTCTTGTGCGTGCGTGTGTGAAAGTGTGTGTGGTGGTGTGTGTGCGTGTGTTTGTGTGGTAGGAGGACAGCAATTGATTGCTATATTTATCAATAAAAGTGAATAAAAACGGAGACACCGACAATAAAAAGATATTTACAAGGTGGAGCATTTTGCTATCTTTTCTTACTACGTCACATTCTTACCAACCCTGTTGGCAATAATCTACCCCTGAAATGCCCGACATTTCATCCTCTTTCCTCACTTTCCCTATAATAAGCCACGCTTGCTAAATACATCCGTAAAGCGCATCTAATCCTATATATTGAAAGCAGGCAAACAAAGTCATACAGTCGTCATGCTATTTACATTAGTATATTAGTTTGGAGAAGGCGCCACTACTACCACTAAAGCTAATTGAACACTCTCTTTATTGACTCTCTTTAGTATTGAAAACAAACATCATAATTCGATAAATTGCTCCCTTAGCCCGCACAGCCTTGTCCTATATAGATATATCTGTTAGTCATGTTGTTTATTGCTTTTGTGCCGTATTGGATTCTCAAGCCGTCGCGCAATCTATCCATTCGGAAGTAATACGTGTATCTCATCAAGTTAATTGCAATGAATGATGTATAAAGCTAAACATGTACCATTGTCAATGTAGTCCAAGAGTAATACAAAATACACCAGTGAGGTTCATAGAGTTTAAGGGAAAAAGCAGATGTTTTTGCATCTTTTGAAAAATCAAATACAAATATTGAATCACCAATAATTGATTTACATAAAATGCGACAACTGAAATACATTAAAAAATACATTCATATAACCGAAAACTTGAGAGTATGAAGGTAAATCAAATAATCCAGATAAATGCAGAGGCCAACTATACACCAGAAGTATGAATGCTTGAGTCGATAGCAGTTATCATCATGATCACGAGGGGAGTAAATCTGTTGTTCGCTTCAAGAGAAAGTATTGTTTATAATATATATCTTTGAATTATTAAATAGCTCATCTTTGAAACCTAGAGACATATTTTGTTTATCCTGATACCAAGTGGTTTAGAACAATGGGGGTTTTCAAGGGGAGTTGGTTATCATTTATATCATAATAACCGTGCACTTAAAATGTAGTTTCGTGGCATGAACATAATTGCTAGGAATTACACGGAATTCTCAACGAACATCTTTCATACGGTTTACCAGCAGTTAAACTCATGTGGTAAAAATTGTTCCATAATTCTATTTCGCCTAACCACATACAGATATCCGTCTGGTAGATGGCTCCTCCCCGAACGAGGGTCGTTTGGAGGTGTCTGACCCCGCCCAGGGGTGGGGCACTGTCTGTAGCATCGGATGGGACATCAAAGACACAGAGGTTGTCTGTCGTGAGCTGGGCTTTCAAGGCGCCAACTCATTCGTCTCCTCCAATTCTCCGTTCGGCCAAGGAAGTGCACCTATCCTCATCACAAACTCAGATTGCAATGGAAGTATGTTCAATTAATTTTCATTTTATTTATTCCATAATTCCACCAAAAGTATATTTTTAACAGATAACATGCAAATATCCCGTTTTTAAACGTGCAGAAATGCATAAATATTTAAAAAAATTGAGGAAAAATTACAAGTATGGGAGGAAAAAAAACGAGAAGAAAAGAAAAGAAATATGCACCGGAATATACAAACAATTGAATTATGTATGATGTCATCATTTTTATTTCATCATCAGTCGTGGTTTCGTTTCTGGATTTGCCTTTTGATTCAACTTCTGACTTATGTATTGACAAAGAAAAATGACAGTTTAAGAAATCACAACTATGATTTAGCCATTGATAGTTCAATGTTGACCTGGGGGCGTGGGGTGGGGGCTTGCCGGAAATATAAGTGGATGAACCAGCCCCAAAGAACCAAGCCATGAGATTGGGGGTTGTGTCAATACTGTTTTCTTCTTGCTTGCCTCTTCACCTTTCTCTCTCCTCTCTCTATCACTCCCTTTCGCATTGTTTACCTATACACAAATCGAGGGGGTATCACGTGCCCCTTGTCTCCCACATATATGCCCCTGATTAGTACTAGCTCATTGATTATTTGAAGTTATCATCCATCTTTCAGATGAAAGCTCCCTCAACGACTGCATTTTCGATGAGACAGCCTCTCGCTGCACACATCAGCAAGATGTAGGCATAATTTGTCAAAGTAAGTACCAAACATTATTTGTAAAATGCCCCTAGGGCGGCACAATTCCCCCTTCCCCAAATGTCAAGCCCCAATCCCACCCGTACCACTTAAAAAAGGTGAACATTGGTTTCCAAAATGGGCACTAGCTGGTAGTGCCCCTAAAATCCGCCACTTCATGAAGCACATATCCCTATAGGCTAGGAATATTGTGTTTTGAGGTCAAACAAATTGCAATAGAATTTTTTTCACCGGAATGCATTTCAGTAAGGTCCCCAAAATGACATACTAAAAGTCCAAAAAAATCCATGTAGTGGAAGTGTGTCTAATTTGCATAAATCCAAAATGGCGCCAATTCTACTGTTTTCACCTAGATTTGGTCAAAATTTTCACATTACATACCTTTAAAAATACTTTTAGTGTACTTTGAATGTCTAAAAAGATATTTTCAAGAATGCTTATGTTCGCGCAAAGTTTCAGGTGCCTAATTGAGTGTCCTAATTTGCATAAATTCAAAATGGCTGCCAAATCAGGCATTTTTTATATTTTTTTAGAGAATTGATTATAATTATAATTCTTGTCCTATGTAATATCAGAATAATTTCGACAACACTTGTTCATGTTGTAAAAATATTTTTAAATTTCAAACATATCATAATTAGGTTCTTTAGTTTGCATAAACACATACATATTCAATTTAGTTTTGTTTCTCACCTTTCAATGCATTCCAGAGTAGCTATAACATACATTGGTTCACAAATCTGAGTTCAGTTCTTATTGGAAGTCTCCAACAAACATACATTTATGTGGCACGCTGGTCAGTAGTATCATCAAGTTCTAGGTCTGGTGGTGGTGAGTTGGTGCAACTAGTGCCACGACAATCAGTGCAGGCTGTTGAACATTGGAGGCCATACTTCCGGCACGTGCATTTCTTGGTTGCACAGTCTTTCTTGCATCCACATCTGATGACTTTAAGGAGTGATGCGGGTGCTGGTGGTTTATCAGTTTGTATTGGAAGATACTTCCCATCCGTGACCTGCCAACCCCAGTCTACCGGTGTCAGTTTGTCTGCCATTCCTTTCCATTCTAGTATCTGATAGTACACACGCAGACTATGGAACTTTGCTGCTGCTGAAGTTGGGGGCAAAGTCTTTGCTTCTAAGGCAGACGACATTGACGATACCTTTACGCAATATCTTCTGTACCTCAAAGAATCTAGATCTTCTGTTGAGTCACCACCATACAGGCATACAAGTGCCTTCTCTCCAGCTGTAACAATGGTCTCCTTCAGGTCTGATGCTGGCTGACTAAATGCCTTGGCAAGCTCACAGAAGTCGTCATTCTTCATGATTTTCTTCAGTGCTACGCCTTTCCCTAGTCCAAATATGCGAGACGTTGTGTCGCAGCCCAGAAGCGCATGGACAGAAAGAATGTTGCCACACACACTACTTCCTAGAGTTTCCTTCAGCTTTTTGATATTCCATGTTCGATTCTTCTTGGAGTTTGCCTTGGGCTCAGGTGCAAAGAAGACGTCCTTTGCATTCAGATCAGCGTGGTAGATCAGCAAGATGAGAAGGTCTGTATCATCCCCGACAAGAACTGTGTCTTTAAACTGAGCTGCTTCTACCGCTGTAGTAACAATTAAGAGATCTGCATCTCCTCTTGCATGAGATACAGTGCAACCATGCATTTCGAGCTTGGAACTGAGTAGGTTTATGAAGCGTTGCTTGTTAACTTCATTTGCAAGAAATTCGTCTTTCTTGGATTTGATTACCATGTCCTCTGCAAAGTTGACAGTCAGGCCTTGACAACCTCCTGATCGTCTAAGATGTGTTGCGTCCTTGGTTGACGGACCGCCTTGATAGCCATCAAAAACAACCGTTGGCCTTCCATATTTGCTGCTGACATAATTGACATATAGCTGGCATATGTTGTTGAAAGTGCTCTCACGTGGCCAAGGAAAACGGTGAAGTAGTGCACCACCATCCAAAACATAATGAACATCACCACTGGGTAGTGTCTGCTCTCGTGTCAGCTCATGTTCAAACACCTTCCAAAGTGCATCTGCTAGGACTGGTTTGTCGGCCTGTAGGGGGAGACATGATGATTCAAACAGAGCAGGGGGGTGACTGCATAACTCGTAGCTGAAAACTGATGCTAAAGTATCTTCACGTTCCCTACTGACAATGACCAGTCTCTGGAAAAGGAGCTGTGGGTCTACATGAACAGATTCATCGCCGATCTTTACAGCAGTCCTTGCACCTAATGTCACTGCTTGATCACTTCTTTTGAATGAATGTTCATCCACTTTCTTTCCAGCCATGGAGTTCAGTATCTTGTTACCGACGTCTTTGGATTGGTCTACATTTACAGTTTCATCTGCAGTCATTCCATTCGCTATACTGTGCAGAGTAGTGTCTGGACTGAATGGATTACGTTGGCTGAGGTAGTTCAGTATTTCCAGCGTGTCGCTAACATCCCTACTCTGTCTGGCACTTGATACATCTTTGTGTTGCTCACTTGTGAAGAGGTAAGCATTAGTAAGATCTTGCATTGCGGCGTTTACTTCTGCACGTATTGGCATTGACAGAAGCCAAACTGTACGTTGGATTTCGGACATACCACTGCCCCTTGTAAGACCACCACTTGTCTTTAAACTTCTCATTAACACCTGTTCTATGATGAGATCGGTAGACAGTCCTGCCCAGTAGCGATCACTTCTCCTTACTACGTGATACCCTTCTCGGAATCTCATGTAGACTTCAGGGTGTGTGTGTGGTAGTTCACGCATCATTTGCAAGTAGACATAGGCAGATTTAGCATACAGGATGTGTCCAGAAGCGGCAAAATATGGTAGCATGTCATGGATAGCCTGCAGATGAAGCTCCCAGTTTCCTGTTCTCTCAGCTTTGATAAACTTGCGCAAAATGTCTATCATGTCCATATACTGCAACCAGAGAACTGCTGTTCGCGTGGTCAAGGTCTCCTTCTTGGCCTTTATTTGCCTAAGAATTTGGTCAATGACTTCAGAGGAACAAATTTCACCCACCAATGCTGTGGCAGACAAGAGCCTATCATACAGTTTTTGTGCTTCTCCCAAATCTGTTTCTTTGATATCTTGTTCCTTCATGGTATCTGTTGCAGGTTCATTTACGTCTGTGCCACAAGGAAACTGAACTTCAGAAGAATGGTCTCCCCCACGTGCTACTCCATGCACCTCTTCTGGAGGTTGCTGTTCTACATGTGCTGCATCACAATTGGTTTCAGGAATCTGCTCTTCTTCAATTGCTACATCACAATGAAGATCAGGAAGTTGCTGGTCGTTGGTAGTTGTTCCAGAGGGAACTCCAGTGGGCTGCTCCCCGAAGTTAGCTACTCCACATGGAACACCTGGGTGTTGATCCTGCTCACTAGGAACTTCCGGAGGTTTCTCCTCGTTAGTTGGCAGTTGTACGTTATACAAGTCTGCTATCAGCATGGTATTTAGCGCAGCATCAACGAGGAAATGGCCCCGCACAGCTCTAGAAATTGCTTTTCCACCCAGCATATGGCTCACCGAGTTGCTGGCATACACTACTTCAAGAAGTTCCTGGAGTCCTGAGCCCGTCATCAAATGCCCTATACTTCCCAGGAAGCTCATTTCAGTGTGCAATCCTCCAAGTCTCAGAACGATCTGCTTCAAGTCACTGTCACTTGGCTGGCTCCTGATTATTGTGAGTGCCTTCCACCAAAGCGGCTGATCAAAAGTCAGAACAGGTGTAGTATTATACTGTTTAGCATGGGCACAGACAAAACGCAGAGTGGAGTAGACACAAGATGGATCACTAGGATTCATGTCAATCATGGGGAGAAACATAACAGATGACTGTCCAGGGTAGTTGCCCTTGTTTACCATCTGCATCGTTCCGGACCAAGAAGGCCTTGGGGACCGCAGGAGTAAAGATGTCTTCCACAACACATCAAGGTTTGATGTTGGATCTTCTGTTCCCCAATTCACAATCGGCTGGTAGACCAGAGGTTGTACAGTTGTAGATGCTTTGAAATATTCAATGTTGATGCGTCCAACAGCAGCGATGTCCTCAGCGGTTACCGTTTCTCTAGGTACAGGCTTACAGCACTTTGTCCCTGGGGTTTTGGTAGCTATGATGCCCATTCCGTGGAAAGTACCTGATCCATCAAGAGTGTCGATATTATGGTCGACATTGTCTGCAATATACTGAATGCACTCTCCTGGTTCATAGCCTGGTAGTTCAGTTCCTTGAGAAACTGCTGCACTTCTTTCATATTTCTTAACCTCTTGATAAGAGCAGGAGAAGCATTGCGCATGCAGTGTGTCGATCAGAAAGCGAGACGAGAATTGATGATGCATTTGTATTCCAAGTCCAAGCTGGAGAGGAGCAAGGAGAACCCTTGGCCGTATTGCGTGCATTATGGCTTGCCCAATAGACGCCAGTTTCACATCTACCTTTTTGCCAACAAACATGTTCCTTAATAGCAATTGCAGGGAATCAGGGAGAAATGCAAGTGCAGCAGTGGTAGACGACATTTCAGCAGGAGTTGGGTAAACGTCACTTGCAATTTTCTTTAACTTGACGTCATTCTTTATGAGCGAGGCAGCAGTCTTTATAATCCTCATTTTCTCCTGCTCTGGTGTGTTGTCCTTTGGCTGCTTGTGGAATTCATACAGAATAGCACTAACTGTGCTACAAAATGTAACTACATCATGCTTTCCGTTCAGTTCAGTTATAACGATTCTCTCACCAAAGTGCCCCTGTATTTTGTTTTTCATGTATACCACACTGTAGGCCTCGTGATCTGTATCCAGTAAATACTGTTGCATCTTAGTAACGAGATCAACTACTGTTGTTTGTTCCTCATCATTTTCCTCCAGGAACTCAACTACTTTTAAGAATGCAGTCAATTTCACCTCCTCTTTAGGTCGGCCAGTTTTAGCCTTTTTGGAAGTGCTTGTGCTCACAGAGTATACCTTTGGTATTTGTTTGTCAGTTTTAAAGTTCACCATGCATTGTTTATGGTATATAGCATCAGCTGCGGGAAGATCATTGATAGATGCAAGTCTTCCAGACACAATTTGGGACCAAGTATCATTTCTTTGTATGCATATCTGTGTAACAGAGTCCTGGAATTCTTTGGTTCTGACAGGGAAAACGTCAAATCCTCGCCTTTTCCCATCATACTTAGCAGGTTGTCCACAGAATATACAGTGCTTTCTGAAATCGAAGGGTGGTTGGAGTGAACGAAGTCCTATACGTTCTTTTTCAACTTTAACATGTTTTGATGCTACCTCCTTTGCGATTCTATTTGGTTCACAGTAGTTTCGACGGCATTTCACATGTACAACTTGTCCAGGATGTACATTTATATTGCTTTCACGTTGTTCGCTTGCACGATTCACTCCATCACTGCCTTTAGCTCCTAGCTCAACTGTAGGCCCTCCATCACTCAATGATTTATTGCAAAAACAACAGCACTCCATGGTGTAAATGCTTAATATAAGGCAAATGATATGACATCTAAATATATACAGTTAAGATCAATAAAACTTCAGCTGTGAATACTGTACACTTGGAAAAAGTCTATACTCCATTGTTGAACGGGGCTCTGGAGGAGTGTGCCTATTCTAAACTTGGCAGGTATCTATTCTACAGTTAGATGGTGTATATTGTCCTTTATTCATTTGGAGTAATAATGTCCATTCTATCTAGTTGAACGGTATCTAATACTGCTCTGGTGGAAGCTTGACTTCTACAGTTGAAGGGTGACTCCTATCCTGCATTTCTATTTGAAGGATGTCCCAAGTTGAAATGAGGGTTTCTATTCTATATAGATGTAACATGTCTATTCTACAGTTGGGACCTGCATACAATTGAAACAGATAGTAACACAATATATTGGTCATTTATGCAGAAACTAAAAAAATCACAAGAGCGATTCAGTGACACTAAATTCTTTCTGACAATTGACTAGAATAATAATATTCTTAAAATTATACACAAAACGTATGGGAGAGTGTATGGGAGAGGAACGATGCTCACATAATTGTTTTGGGGCTTGACCAACTGACACTGAAATATTAGTAAGGCAGCCTAGCCAAGACCCTCTGATCTAGATCTCAAATCCACCATACTTTTCTGTCAAACACATTTGAAGGGCCCAACAGGGCTATCCAATGCCGCCGCTAAGACTAATAAGGCCATGAAGCTAGCGCCATCGCTAGCCGGCCGGCCAGCGCTAGCATTGGAGCAATCCTTAGTCCTTACATCTTCTACGGCTATAGCTGGCCTAAATCTAATAAAATAGCTAAATTTACCGTTTATCAGACTCATAATGTGTTCCTCTGAAATGGTTTATGTCCATGTCAATCCCTGCTACAGCAACTACAGCCCCCGTCATATTGCTGTAGGCACGTGTGTAGGCTTGCCTTTGTAGCTATCGAGAAAGTTTCTCACCTCTCTAAAGTAAACTGTTGCACTGTGAATAACTTCTAACCAATCCAACGACCATGCGGCTAGGTAAAGCCTCTCCCCTATACATACATGTACATGTAGCCCTACCAACAGCTCTTGTGTTTGTCGGATACTCATAAGGGCTAGTTTTCTGAATATTTTATTTTTGTTTTTATTTAATACAGTCTAGTTATAGTCTAGTGCATGCATAATGAAATAATATAATCTGCAAAGGGGATAAACTGAACATAAATTACATGTTAGACTGTGTGGGTGTGGGTGTGGGTGTGGGTGTGGGTGTGAGTGTGCGAAGGGGTTTGTTTGAGGTGTGTGATGTACATGTAGCATATGGGTATTTTAGTTGATTACAAATGTACAGCAGATTACTTTTCCAACTCTATTAGTGCCACAACAGCTCTACAAGTTGAAACATATGACAAAACCTATGTGTAAATCTTAGTATATTGGCGGCCATTTTGGATTTATGAATGCTGCGATGCACAATTAAACAAGATGTACTTCTGTATATGATATATACACCATATTACATTCATATAAATGTGAAATGTGTGCTTTAAAGTGCCAAAACAATTACCTATGATAAGAAATGCAACTCGATATCGGTGAAAATCTTCGAAAAAGCGGCCATTTTGGATTTATGCAAATTAGGCACACTTCCACTACTTGGATTTTTTTGGACTTTTAGTATGTCATTTTGGGGACCTTACTGAAATGCATTCCGGTGAAAAAAATTCTATTGCAATTTGTTTGACGTTTACCTAAAAAATGACACAATATTCCTAGCCTACTAGGCTGATCTACGGTCTTACATGTCGCAGCGGGCGCCGAACCCTTCTTTTTAAAGATAAACGAAAGAAATATGTAATTACCGCGAAACTTTCGACCCTGAGTGTGAAACAACGCAAGTTCTGTTCTACTAATATGATCCACAGCATCTCCTTCGGGGTGTTTTAAGCGATTTCAATTTGGTCTCTTATAAAATACTTACTCTTGAGTTTATATTGTGGCATTTTAATTTCGAAAACAATGTCGATAACAGGAGTGAACAGAATACCATTTTTAATGAATGACGTCCCTGAAGACATTGTCATAGAGGTGGGTTATTTTTCATTGTGACCCGACATCTGCTCCGACATGTCCGGCGACCATTACTCCATGCTTTATTTTGCCAAAGCTATATTTGGGTTCATTTTTAATAGCGTTGCAATCACGTTCGAGGTTACGGTTATAATCAAGGTTAGTGTTTGGTTTTGTCGTATAGATGTGTCCAGTGGCGTACGCAGGATTTTTTTCAAGGGGGGGGGGGGTTTAAAATCAAAAGGGGGGTGTTTTCTCCTGCGTACGCGCCTGGATGTGTCCAGTGATGAAGTTAGGAAATTGGTTAGTGGAGAATACTGACCTCGTAGCAATGGATGTCCGAGGATATTATGTAGTACCCTCGTCTTGATTTATACAGAGTAAAATTGGTGAGATAAAAAAGGAAAATGAGAAGAAGGAGGAGAAGAAGAAGGAGGAGAAAAAGAAGAAGAAGAAATACATAAATACCTTTGAGGTAACCTTTCAAAGACTTTTCATCTTCTTGTTGTTTTCCCTTTTCTATTTTGACGCGACCGCAAAGACTTTTGAAAAATCAACGTACGGCAATTCATATACGTGTAAGTGAGTTTGTCCGAGGATATTTTGTAGTATCCTCGTCTTGATTTATACAGAGAAAAATTTGAATGAGCGAATATGACGACGACATATTACGTAATTCAAGCACTTTGTCTTTAGACAATACAATAGGCTTTGATTTTTTCACAGTCATTGTGATCGTGTTTTGTGTTGTTTTAAATCTCACTTATATACCCCCAACAGAACCCGGTTACATCGGCTGCTTCGGTGATTCCTTCGAGCGCCTCTTCCAGGGCGCATCCTTCGACGATCCCGTTGGCATGACCATAGATGCTTGTCTCGGCTTCTGTAGGAATCAGAACTTTCCGTTCGCTGGTGTGGAGTACGCAAGCGAGTGTTACTGCGCAGACTCGGACACGCGTTACGACGCGCAAGGAACGTATGACGACTCGGAGTGTCAGTACATCTGCTCGGGAAACACGTTGGAGCGATGCGGCGGGAACAGGCGGATTTCAGTCTTTAACAGTACGTACATTTTTGTAAATCAATGGAAAGTGGCGTACGGTAGCTTATGTTTAAATGTTATACTTAAAAGTATAGGCTTGTTGCTATTGTCCGAGCACTGTCGACTCAATACCGGAGACTAACTGTTGCACAGCAGTCGGAATTAAAAAAAAAAAAATACTTTTTATAGAACATTTGCTTTCAAATGTATCACTGCATCATTCAAATAAATTTAACACAGCTATAATATAATTTCACCCTCTTATTTGTATTTTTTCTGTAAATATTGAAATAATATGTAGTGTAACATCCTTTAAATGCTACTGTTTGGCTTGTTGTTTGCCTGCTCGGATAATTGTGACAAATCGCTATATCTTGTGATAGTGCAAAGATGATATCAGTCTTCACCTGTTCTACACATTTTTACATAATAGCAGTGAAGGGATGTTACTTTGTCTACCAAAGCAATTGTTGAGGGTAGAATGAGGAACTGTATATTTTGTCCTCTCCTTTGTCCGTTATGTTCATAGTGACTGTCAATAACTACTGTGTGGAAATTATTTTTTTCTCACTATTTACAAAGTGACACCTAGTTTCAACCAAGTACCTTTAAATGACAATATACCTTTATTATTTTGCATAGCTACGCTGGGATTTTGTGATGACCCAGGAGAACCAGAGTATGGAACGCGACAGGGGGACTGGTTCCGTTATGGAGCGTCGGTTACCTTTGACTGCGCGGAGGGATACAATCTGACCGGGAATCAAAGCGTTCAGTGTCTCAGTGTGGACGGATCACCGTTGGTTGATTGGAATGCTGATACGCCCGTGTGCTTAGGTATGTTATCAACGAATTTCTGGAAAAATAGGCCAGTTTTTATGAAGGAAATGGGAAGAATCAAAGACATACAGTGACAAAAATATTGATTTTTTTTTGTCGCCGATGAAATAATTCTACCACACAACCGCCTAAAAAAGTACAATTGAAAAAAGATTCAAGCAATTAAATCGTAAAATCTTAAGCAGGGATGATATTTCTTAAACGCTTAGCTCGTACCCATACTTTTGGCAACAAAAAGAAAAACATTTTAATTTCTAGTCCCGCACTTGTTCTGTATCTTCATAATTAAATGCCCTATTTAACAATGAAATGCGATAATGTTTCTCTATGACTGCAACATTTACAATCAGAAAATAAGTAGCTATATTTTTGAACATCTGAAAGGACTCAGTCACGATGCTTTCAAAAGATTAACTCAACGATAACAAACAGAAGCACATGATGATACTATAATCTTTTACTTGGATTTGGATTATACATTCTGTAAAATGTAATATAACAATGACATGTGTTATGATATGAAGAAAAATATGTTACGATTGTTATGCTTCTTTTTCTCTAATAAAAGAAGTGTATATAACAGTAGTTAAAATTAGTTCTATTGCCCTTTCATTTTTATTTAAACTGCGACATTTTGGCTGGATGCAATTTACGAGAATGTGCCGATTTGCTTGCTTAATTTCCTCAACTTTTTGTTGCTCAATCATTTCGCAAAGTATAACCAGATGCTCTCTTGCATCCATTCTAGTTTATGTTGGCCTGACGTCTGTCATTTGCGTCGTTTGACTGTTTAAAGCCGGCGTGTCATCATCATTATCATCATCATTCTCAGCGTCTCATGATCATCATTATCATCATCATCGTCTTCGTCATGCATGTCTATGCTGTTACTGTTGACACCTTTCGCCACTGTAGGCTATGCATGAGATATTTTCCCTTTTCTCGTTCGAAACTGTCAATCACGTCGCTCTTTCGCAAGGCATATTCGTACTGTTCACTGCTCATCGTCGCTCATTCTTGCTTCACATAATCATCTCCGTCTGCACACAATCGCTTTGAATGTTGCCTTCATCGTATCCATCTGCATATCAAACATATAGAGGGCGCCTTTCTAGACTGTGCGTACTCAAACTATGTGAGATTAAATTTCTTGTGAATCATGTTCCGAATCGCATGCAGGTCCGACCGTTATTCCAACCACAATCGGCCCCTCAACAGCAGGGCCGACAACAGAGGATGCGTCTACGACAGGTTTCTTTACAACACAAATTACAGATGCTTCCACAACGGCGGAAACAGCAACATCCTTCACTACAGATGGGACCACAACGATGGAAACACCAACATCGCTCACTACAGATGGGACCACAACGACAGAAACAACCACACTGATCACTACAGATGGGACCACAACGACGGGAACACCAACATCGTTGACTACGGATGGGACCACAGCGACAGAAACAACCACACCGTTCACTACGGATGAGACCACTGCCGCTGTTCCAACCACATCAACAGATCCAACGACATTTCCTATAATAACTACAACAGATATTCAAAGAACTACAACTCCAAATAGTGTCACAACGACAGAAGCCAGCATAACAACAGATATGGTTGCAACAACACAGGGTTTAGAAACAACGACAGATATCACTGTAACATTCAAAACAACGACGGTGGATACAATAACTACAGGTGCATTTAGGAAACTACCTATAATTCTAAAAGTGTTTTCTTATCTTCTTTAGATGAAAAATATAATTGTCAACGAGCCCGTTGTCGACGTCGGTCGTTTCACCCACGAATCCCTGGATGACGACGCCTATTGTTCAGACAGGTTAATGAAGTCAACCATGATGACGTTTATGTTCCATAATATGATTATCTATGGAAGTGTCGTGGTACATGACACTCAATGCATTGATCCACATTTGCCATTCTTATCTTCCTTTGATATCAGTTTGCATCGTAAATTCATTGTCCATAATCATGGTAAAGCCCCCTTTTAACAATTCCGATCTGCCCTCGTTCTCTCTTTATATTTGAAAGACATATTAGACCCGTGGCTTTGATATTCATTTAATTGATCAAGGGTTTATTTACAATCGTTGGCCTAATGGTTTAGGTTTATCTTCCAAATACACAGAAGTACCGCCAACAACGACAAAAGCTACTGAAGAAACGGATATCACCCTGGACGTCAGTACAGATACAACAGCATATGTAAGTCTTACAGCATAATTATTTGCATAACCCATAGTCCAGAATCTGGACGATATGTTGATTCATTTCGCAATTGCGATCTTTCCCATCCTTTACCTGTTGCAAGCCGAAGATGGTGTGATCTACGAAAACGTATATACGCATCGATGGTACGCCCAGCCGTGCGTACGCAGAAATTCGAGGAATACGTACGTCACCTTCGGCTTTCAGCAAGTATAGAGGGAGATCGCGGTGGTAGAGATTACCAGATTATGGACTACATAGGCCATTGATTGATTGCTGGTTGATTGCCTGGTTGATTACCTGATTGATTGTTTGACAGGTGTTCTCACTAACTTAACAGTCTATTCATTATTATTTTATTTTTTTTACTTCGGCATGGTTCATCACATGATGTTCATGATAAAGAAATGACAAATATGCAAACAGAAGACCTACAATTATTGTATGACAAACTGAAGGGAACAATTACGGATACTGAGAAACACACAGAGCTATGAATAGAATGTATGAGGGCATTATGAGTCTACTTATTCTCACGTTATATTGTCGGCAAAGCGGCAACGGCACACCCAAGACATGATGACCTGTGTCCCCCCTCACCGAAAGACAATCCAGGACCCGCCACTGATTATTTAGGTTTTGTTTAAACCTCCTAGTATTACATAATCCAGGTTTTAGAATGTGGCGAGCTAGTGTGCGATTCTTTGATCTCAATATAACTTGTTTTTTTCTTCCAGGAGTCCACCGGTACTGCTGGCACGATGACGTCAGTCGAGGAGGTAGATACCACAGGACCACCAGACGGTAGCACTCAAGCCACACCCACGATACCCTCTACGACGGAGGGTGTTACCCCTAAAGTGGGGTTGCAGGGGGGCAGATGGCCTTGGCCGCCAAGTAAAGTGACATCTGATTTACAGTTATCAACTAAATTATTCATACCCCCACCAATTTTTGGAATGGTGTATGTATGTGAAAATAGATTTGTCCCAATCGATGTTTCTTGAGAATATTACATCATCAAAGCTCACATCTAAAAAGTAATCAACGAAAGCCATGAGTTTAGCTGTCCACCTTACTTTATATACAAGTTACAAGAAAATGCATCAAATTTATAAGAGGTATGCATGATTTAGTTCTTAACTGAAGGTTGAGACATCGTAGGCATTACTGCAGAGTAGATTCCGATCTTTTATCATCCGCAACTCTGTATTAAAGAGATGGGATTGTAATATGTGATCTTATACATTGACTCAATGCTACATGCTATACACACATACACACAGTTAATGTACACTGTGGTGTATGGGCTATTCTATACACAATATAACCAGTCATGCTGGATTGCAACTTCACTCTGATGTTTCTCTATGTGTCTTCATTTGAGTACTAACCATACAGCTAAACAACCCCACATTATATGGTGGCAGCGATATAGAACCTACTGGACAATATTTGTGAACTTTGCATCATTTTGGAGGGATTTTGGAGGCCATCTTTACTGACACACTGTCATGGGATCAACAGGTGCTCCTTTCTACAGTCCCATATGATGGTTTTACTGTAAGTAAAATGTGCATTGATATTTGCATTACTATTGGAGTTTGAGTAGCTGATATGAACTATGAATGAATCATTTACACCCCGCATGAATTGGGAAGACCCCGACAGAGCCAATGCTGTTAAGATTTTTCATCAGCAATGTGACTTATACTTCTCAGTCAAGAATGTTGCGATTGGTAAGCAAGTGGATCATGTTCTTTTGTTCACTGGTGCCACGGGTATCAAGCTTTACAACTCGTGGGGTCTGGAAGGTGAAGATAAGAAGAATCCAACTGTTGTTTGGGAGAAGTTCGAGACACAACTGAGGCCAAGGGCAAATTTCCGTGTAGCTAGGCTATACCTTCAGAAATATGTGCAGAAAGAGAGGGAAAGTGCAGATGATTATATCTCGCGCCTGAAGCTGCAGGCATATGACTGTGAATTTCGTGATGACACTGAGCTCCAAGAACGCATCATTGAGCAGTTCATCACAGGCACTAGATATCCTGAGCTCCAGAAAGATCTTCTAGGGAAGAGCAAGTCCCTCACTCTTACACAGATGCTTGAGCTGAGTAGAACATTTGAAGCATCGCAGATGCACATGGCTCAACTAGCGCAAGTACAGACACATATTCAGCCTGCATCGATTGATGTAGTTCGTCGGAAGACTAACACTAGTAACAAGTGTCCTAATTGTGGTGGTAATCATGCTCGCAGTCCACGGGAAGCATGTCCGGCTTATGGCACCAAGTGTAACAGATGTGGAAAGTTGAATCACTGGAGGAGTGTTTGTCGGTCTCCAGCTCCAAGTACACAGTGGTCTGGGAGATCTCCAGCTTCAAGTACCCAGAAGTGGAAGCAGAAAGCTAAATGCGCTACGCCACATCGTGGAGGCAAGCAGGTGCACTCCATCCACAGCACCGACAATATTGAGGCAGCAGCAGCGGTCCCACTACTGAATGACGCAGTGGATGTCCTGTCATTTAATCGAATTATTGTGTCAGGTATCAGTGCTGTAGAGGTGGATGACAGGGACGACCTAACAATAGCGTACGTGGAAGTAAGACGGGATGAGAGAACCATAATGAAACTGCGTTCGAAGGTTGACTCCGGTGCGGAGGGCAACACACTTCCTCTTCGGATGTTTCGTGGGATGTATCCTGGCCATCTCACTAAGGATGGAGTTCCTCACCCTCAATCAGTGCATAATTCAAGTGCACGGCTGTTCGCTTACAACGAAACACCAGTGATGCACTACGGTTCAGTGAGACTGCCCTGTCGTTTCAACAACTCAACTTGGCTCTATGCTACATTCTACATCGTAGAGTCCAGGGGTCCAGCGATTATCGGATGTGACACAGGCTTGAAACTGAAGCTGCTTACTCTACACACACGCATCAACGAGATCAAGCATTCAGCACAGATAAGCTCTACTGATGACCTAGTAAGGCAGTATCCAGACCAGTTTGACAAAATTGGCAACTTCCCAGGAGAATATCATATTGTTCTTGATCCAGACGTTCAGCCTGTTGTCCATGCTCCTAGACGGTGCCCAATCCACCTACGAGATGAACTGAAGCGTGAGTTTGATGACATGGAAGGTAATGGCAAACTCCGGGTCTGCTTGGATCCCAAGGATCTCAACCGAGCTATTCGACGTTGCCATTATCGCACTATCACGACAGATGAGGTGATACACAAGCTATCAGGTGCTCGACACTTCAGCAAACTCGATGCCAAGAACGGTTATTGGTCTATCAAGCTCGACCATGACAGTTCACTTCTGACTACCTTCAACAGTCCCTTTGGACGGTACAGATATCTCAGGATGCCTTTCGGTCTAGCAATGTCTCAGGATGTATTCCAGCAGCGAATGGACGAAATCCTCGAAGGTTGCCCCGGCACAATAGGGATCGCTGACGATATTGTTGTGTTCGGCAAGAGTGAAGCAGAGCACGATCAGAATCTGCACCACCTCATGTCCAAAGCTGTGAAGTACGGTCTGCAGTTCAACAGTGGCAAGTGCAGCATAAAGGTCAACCAGATTTCCTTCTTCGGTATGATCTACGATGCAGATGGCGTCCATCCGGATCCTCACAAGGTCGAGGCAATCAAGTCAATGTCTCCACCTGAGAACAAGACCCAGCTTCGTGAGTTTCTTGGTATGATAACCTACCTTAGCCCATTCATACCAAATCTTTCAGCCCAGACTGCAAGCCTACGTGGTCTTTTGAAGCAGGACGCTAAATTTCCAATGGACTCCAACGCACCAGTCTGCCTTCAATGATTTACGTGACAAGGTATGTCACGTAAATCATTGAAGGCAACTCGGGCGTATTTCGATGTTAACAAGCCTACGGTACTGCAGGTAGATGCTTCTCTGCAGGGCTTGGGAGCGACTCTACTGCAGGATGGAAAGGGTATCGCGTTTGCATTGTAGTTACTTGACCTTTGAAGAACTTTGCATTTGTAAATATTATTGTCTTGTCTTTATTGTGTGGCTTGAAGTCTAGCCTTTTATTCCATTGTCACTCATTTCTTTAGTGACACCTGTTGCATTACTAGAGTGCCACAAATACTTACTCTGGCAAGCACATTCCATACCCTATGGGTTGGGATGTGCAACCACCTAATGTACTGGTATAGCTTATACTGTACAGGGACATTACACTTGCTTGCTTTATTTGCCACACCTATTTTGATCACTTCTCCTGAGCTGTTCATATAGAGCACACCTATTCTAGAGAGTCGATCGATCAACAGCAAAGCTAATTCAGCTTCATCTTAATTCTTGTCCTATTTCTTCGCTTGTTTCTCTACTCGGTTCTGAGGCCTTATTACTTTATAGAGATTATAAGTTTCTTCTTCTTTACTTAATTCGCGAAGAAGCGTCATTACTTTGTACATGGTCTTACATATTCTTTCTACGGGTGCTGTGCAATATTTGAACTACTACTTGTGATATAATATATGTTCCAAGTATCTGTACTCAACAGGTGTTTCTACGAGACAAGGTAGGAAAGAAATCTATTTCTATTTCTTTTATTTAGGTGATTAAATTCCCTAAACTGGTGACCCCGACGTGATCCAGATTTTTTTTCTTCTGTTGATCTAATCTACCTTGTCATCGTCATTATCATGCCTGATACTGATAGCAATGTATTACCTAGTGAGGCTTCTGAGCCATCCCCTCAAGTCTCATATGTTAGTTTAAAGCTTCCACCATTTTGGGCACATGATCCTGATATTTGGTTTGCTCAGGTTGAGGCTCAGTTTCAAACTAGAGGTGTCTCAGTTGAGTCTACAAAGTTTGCTTATGTTGTCGCCTCATTACAACCAGAGGTAGCTCTAGAGGTGCGCGATATTTTAATTGCCCCTCCCCAAACAGAGCCGTACAAGATACTAAAAGCAGCACTGGTTAAGCGAACTTCTGTCTCTGAGCAAAAGCGTCTGAACAAATTGCTGACGAGTGAAGAGTTAGGCGATAGGTCGCCCTCCCAACTCCTTAGGAGAATGCAACAATTATTAGGCTCTAATACTTTGGAAACTAGTATACTTAAGCAATTATTTTTGCAACGCCTGCCAACCAATGTACAGTTGATTCTCGCTTCCACAAGCGATGATGTCAGCTTGGTTGCGCTAGCGGCATTAGCCGACAAAATTGTTGAAGTTGCTGGTCCGCCTACTATTTCTCATGTCTTACCTAAAGAAGTGCCAGCGCAGATTTACGCTTGCGCTACTCCCAATGACTCTGGTGAAGTACATCGACTTTCTACCCAGGTTGCTCAACTGGCTGCTCAGGTGCAAGCCTTGACTTGTTCTATACATGAGGACCGCAGAAGTCGCAGTCGACAGCGAGGCCCGAAGAATTCCGGCCCTCGCCAATCAGCTTCCCGTAGCCCGAGTCGGCATCAACAACATGCTGGGGCTGAATGTTGGTACCACTGGAAGCATGGCAAACGAGCCCAGAAGTGCATAGGTCCTTGTTCATACTCAGCAGGACAAAGCCGCCCTGGATATGTCCAGGGAAACGGGCCCGCCAAGGAATAGCGGCGACTAATTCCATTCAACCCAGTCGCCTTTTCTTTGTTCATGATAAACAATCAGGCACGCGTTTTCTTGTTGATACTGGGGCCGAAGTTAGTATTTTCCCTCAATCCATGTTAGGAAAATCGGCAATGGTAAGTGCAACAAATATCCAACTTCAAGCTGTTAACAAGTCACCCATTAAGACTTTTGGCCAGAGATCTTTCACTCTTGATCTTGGGTTGCGGCGAGTTTTTCGTTGGATTTTTGTTGTCACGGACATACCTACACCTATCTTGGGAGCCGATTTCCTTGATAACTATGGACTA